AAATTAGTGTCGTTAGTTTTCGGGTTTCGGTTAGTTCCGGGGGGGGGGGGGTTTAATAAAGTTTCATATCACAAAATATAGAATTTGTGCTCCAAATATTTTTTTGTTCCTAGTAAGGCATAACGATATAAGGTATTTTTCAAGAAAATAACATAAAATCTGAGATGAGCTATGTCATTATACTAAAATATTCAACAATAAAGATAATAAAATCGCATAAAATACTATTATTTATATCCCATAATAAAAATAAACATAATCTAAAATTACTAAGTTGCTAAAATAAGTACGACTAACAAGCACTATTTTACATGACTAAACACTGTAAAAAAAATTGTGCATTTTATCTAAATCATGGAAAAACTAAAAAAACTAGATATTCAACGCTATTGTCATTCCTAGTACAATTTAATTGAGTGTCTTGTATTAGCATTAATATTGACAAAACTTATTGTAGCACTCAAGAATTATACGTCCAAGTTTAAAATAATACGTTAAAAGATAAAATTATAAAAATATTTATAAACTAAACAACAATAAATATTTTTATGTATTAAGTATATTTAAAACTTCTTATGCATATAATGTCGGGTTGGTTTGGTTCGATTTGATTTTTTTTAGTTAAAACCAAACCAAACCAATTATGGTCAGCTTTTTTTCCCAGCGCCAAACCAAATCAAACCAAACCATAGTTTGATTTTTTTTCTCGGTTTGATTCGGATTATCGATTTGATGCGGTTTGTCGGTTTTCTTTGTACACCCCTACCATGTACTATGAGAAAAAGATATAAATATACTCTTCATTATACTTTGGGTCCAAATATAATCCTACCGTAATATATTGGTTCATATATACCTGCTTTCCATTAAGTTTGTCCAAGGTGGACATCCAATCCTACATGGCGCTGATATTTGATGATGAGGTGGCAAGCCATGTGGTATCCACCTCTTCAAATGTCAGTGCCATGTGAGATTGGATGTCCACTTTGGACAAACTTAATGGAAAAGGGGTATATTTGGACTCGAAGTATAACGACATGGGAATATTTTGCACTCGAAGTATAACGAGAGATACATTTAAATATTTTCTGATAGTACAGGAATATATTTAGCCTAAGGCTGGCAAACGGGCCGGGACCGGGACTAAACGGGCCTCGTGGGCCGCTCCTAAGTGGGCCGGTCCTATGTGGGCCCGGGCTTCGTGGGTCGGGCTTATACGGTCCCGAGCTTCGTGGGCTTTGGAGGTAACCGGACCAGGACCGGGACCACAAACTAATGGTCCCGAGCTAAGTAGGCCGATCTCGGGCCCATGTGGGCCTAAGTGGGCCTGGCTTATTTTTTTTAAAATTTTATTATCTAAGGCAATTTCTTGTAAATTATATAGCTTATATATATATATATATATATA